TTTAGCATAGTTTTGGAATTTTTAAAGAAAAGAAAAACTCATGATTCGCAGACTTTCGCATATATGTATATGTGCCTTATAACCATTTCTTTTTTTGTCGCGTACGTTATCACCTGGTTTTGAACGGATATTTTCCACACCAAAGTTTCGAGGCTGCTTATTTTTTTCTCAAACTTAGTACCCTTTGGTTGCAACTTAACCGTAATCTTTTTTTTCAGTACCTTCTATTTTTGATAGATTTACGTTTTTCTTTTAAGCGTACGAATGTCGCGTACGGCTGTATGGAAACACCCATATGTACACATATATACACATTTTGTTCGGAGTTGAAGATTCCCTACATATACAACACGATAGTGTACGATACTATCGAAAATATCGATAGTATTTTTCAAATTATCGAATGGCGTCACTATCGATAGTTTTGCAGCTCTACTGTATATCAAGACGAAGGCGATGGACTGATCCTTTTGATTTTAACTAAAACATAGTATTCTGTTTTTGTTTCGCGTGAAAATGCTGTCAAATTGCATATAAAATTTGTTTCTGTGAAAAACGTGTGAATTTCCTGAGCAAAGTAGTATTCTGTTCATTGTGTGAAAACTGCCAGTTTATAGAATTCAGTTGCGCCGAACACAAGGAGGTTTATGTGGTTAAACATTACCCAAGCCGATCGTAAAACTTTATTTTAACATTATTTCTCGAAAAAAAAATTAAATTTTGATTAATGGGCTTTGTATGGATGAAAAATTGTATAGTAGTGATGCCGATTCAAATTAATAAAAATCATTATGTCTTGCCCGACGGTCGAATTTATTCGGTTTTCTATAAATTCAAATATTTTCGTTCAAGCGATGTTAGGATTCTTGTTCTTATTTTTTAATTGGCAGCTGTGTCCAGCGTTTCCGTTTCACTTAGATGTAAGCAAAATTTACTAATTCTTCCTGACTGTTTAAATGTTAAAATTTTCTTCGTTTTGCTTAATTTTTTTTCCAGTTCCTATCAAACGAAAGCAAAAACTAGAAATGAAGTTTCATGAACTATGTGGTAGTTTAAATTTACACTGCAGTATTATCAACTGGCACATTATTATTATCATTATTATGGGCCATATGCACCGCGACCTCTGAAGTGATCTATTGTGCGTGACGATCCGCCCTATAAGTGTGTTTGCGTTGTTCAACTTTGCGTTCAACTCAGCGCAGGGTTGCACGAAAAAAAGTTGAATGGCTAAAAATATCAAAATATGAAAAAATATCAAAATATTCGCCATAAAAAGGTGTTTGCATTGTTCAACTTTGCATTCAACTTTTGATTGATTGGCGTTTCAACTAATCGTTTTCAACAAAGTTGGTTGCCAGCCAACATTCAGAAAAAGTTTGGAATTCTTTTGTAGAATTTAGTTGGGGAAAATTTCCTATAAGGGCGGCCATTGAAGAGGTGGTGAGCGAAGGGGGAGTGGGCGTAGCACCCCCGACCACCTAAGCCCCCTATGGGTCCCTAGGGACGCCTTAGAAAAATCGCCAAATATCACAATTGGGTGCCACGCCCACTCCCCCTTTGATCACCATCTCTTTAACGACCGCCCTTTTTGCAAAGACAGCCCATTTAGTTATTTATTTTTAACATTTATTGTTGCTTTGGAAAAGATTTCTAAAATATCTTTGTTTATTTGTACCTAATTAATGGTAATTTGTAACAATAAATTGCACAAAAAATTAAAAAAAAAAATGCTACTCCTTTTTTAGGTCTTGTACTGCTTTTTTTCTATCGAAAATATAAATGTACCCTTTCTCCGTTTTAAAATCTGGCAACCCTATTCAAATCCCACCCGATTCCGATTATTATCGTTTTTGAAAAGGTTCGTTAGATATTAACTTTACTGTTGGGTGATTCTGCTGCTTTTTTGGTCGTAAAAAAAAACAAATTCAGCCCAAAATAAAAGTCTAAAGGTCGATTTCTGGTCCCAGTATTGATGAATACCGAATGTAATTCTGGTTGAAAGTGCTGCCACATATTTTGTTGGTAAAAATATGTATTCTCTCTTGCTTATGATTGTCGTTGTGACATGATTTTGTTTCCATCTTTGTAAAGTTGCTTACAAAACTTACGATTGCTATAAATTTTGCCCCCATTTTTTAAGATTTACAGATTTGGTGTCTTCAGACTGAAAACCAAAAAAAAACGCACCAAGCACTAAACTCAAAAATTTTCGCGTTTTGAATTATGAAAAGCACTAAATTTAGTGCGAAAAGCACCAAGTTGGCAACAATGCCTGTGGGTCTAGGCAAAAATATCCCTCAAGGTTTAGTTTAAAATGGTTCCAGGGATACATCTTTCCAGAAGTTGGCACATGTGGTGTGGTTAAAAATTTAAATTATTTAAAATATTTTTATATATGTACATATATTTCGACTAAATAATATTAAATGCTTTCAGCAAGAAGAAAATTTCTGAAGTACAATAATTTTCTTTCATGATACAAAAAAGAAGGTAGTTTCAATAAACAACTTTTGACGGATAATAAAATTTTTTGAAGTTTCATAAATTGTCAGTATTATCAACGGCCTTGCCACTTTGATAATATTAAAACAATACATCGGAGTATTTTCTTTCCCATATTTTTAGCAATGTGAGAATATTTCAAATCAAAACTCATAATCAGTACTTGATATTTTTTTACTTATGTGGTTTGCCCCTCTTTTATTAAAAATATATAAAATGTAAACTGTTGCATTGTAATTATTCTTTTTATTTTATAATAAAAACCATTAGTGCATTATGTTGTTATTTTTTTCATTTTCTTATTTTGATATACAATTTTCGTTTCTTTAATCTTGCGATTTAAAAATCGAATTCTAAAGAATGTTCTTCCCAAATAAAATCTTTTTATAATATTTTGGTCCAAATTTACTTTTAAATTTCTCATCAGATTTTGCAAAAATTTTGGCTTTGTGGTTAGCGAATCACCATTAATTTCAACAAATTTTGAATTCAAAATTTCCAATGTATGCAAAAAACTTGTCTGAAAAGTAGGGCTGTGCGATTAATTGATTACTCAAAATTTTAATTAATCATAAAGTAAATAACTCAATTATTCGATTAATTGGAAATTATGATTACTCAAAAGTTCAGTTACTCGAGTAATCAAGATTTTTGATTAACCAAAAACAAAAATATTTGAGTAAAATGCTTTATGATTAATCAAAATTTCGAATAAAATGAGTAATCAACATTTCAACTCTTTACATATGTATAAATTAGTTAAAGTTCCTTGATACTTTGAAAACAACGTTTCTGTTTTCAAAAATTAAAACAAAATTTTTTTTTCATACACAGAATGTAAAAAAGAAAATAAGCATTTTCCAAAGCAAACTCTATTACGAGCAAAATTATTTTTTTTGAGTAATCATATTTCAAGTAACTCGATTAATCATCGTTTTGAGTAATCAAAATCTTGATTACTCGAGTAATTGATTAACCGAATAATTGATTAACCAACTTGCTCGAGTAATCGAATAATCGCACAGCCCTACTGAAAAGTAATAGATTTAATCGCATAGGAACATCAAACTTATATATGAAATCAAAGGACCTACCTCTCCAAACGCTCCTAATACTCTTCGAAATATGTCTCACTGCCAAAGCTTTCGTCCAGTTGCATCCTGAAAAAAAGCATTTAAATAATCCATAT